AAGTGCGTTAACGCTCGACGAGTTTAGCGCCTGAGTGTTAATTCAGTTCAGGGTCCAAAATAAATCATTATTCTGGCCACTGAAATGAATTAACACCCAAGCGCTTGACGTGCCTAAATGCTTTATATGCGTTTTCAAGCGTCAAGCATTTTTTCGTCCAAAACGCTGCTGCCAGGAGGAAAGGAGTCTAGGAGGGTGAGCAAAATGTCCAGTGTGCATGAGGTCTTAATCTCACCTACGGTATGTTATCATTGATTATATATAATACACTAAAACAGATGTACAGTAACAGGTAAGCCGCTGCACAATTCATTTCCAACTAATATAGCTTGTAGTTTACACATTACTGTTGTGTCACTAAAACTACTTATTGTGATAATGTACAGAAATAAAAATATTAAAATGATTAAAAACTTTAAAACAAGTATGTTGGGTTATGCACTTGGGGGCTAAGACTATGCATGCAGAGGAGTACAACTGGGGGAATCAATGGTGGAGAAGGATCTGGGAGTTCTGGTAGATCACAAGCTTAATAATGGCATGCAATGCTCCATAGTTAGTCTGGCTGAAAAAAGACAAAAGTCCATCCAGTTTAACCATTTAAAAAAAAAAGTTATAATCCTACACACAGTTGATCGGAGGAAGGAATAAAACCCAGCAAAGCATGATCCAATTTGCTCCTGCACGGGAAAAAAATTCCTTCCTGATCCCCGAGAGGCAATCGGATATTCCTGAATCAACTTTACCTATAATTGTTAGTATCCAATGCCAAGCTGCAGTTTCTAAAGCGAGCAAAATCCTCTCTTGTATTAAAAGAGGTATAGGCTCCAGAGAGAGAGATATCATATTACCCCGGTACAAATCATTAGTAACACCTCATCTGGAATATGCAGTTCAGTTTTGAGCACCAATTTACAAAAAGAACATTGGGGAACTGGAGAAAGTACAGAGAAGGACAACCAAACTGATAAGAGGCATGGAGGAGCTCAGCTATGAGGAAAGATTAGAGGAACTGAATTTATTCTCTCTTGAGAAGAGGAGATTAAGGGGGGATATGATCACCATGTATAATACATAAGGGGGGATATGATCTCCATGTATAATACATAAGGGGGGATATGATCTCCATGTATAATACATAAGGGGGGGATATGATCTCCATGTATAATACATAAGGGGGGATATGATCTCCATGTATAATACATAAGGGGGGATATGATCTCCATGTATAATACATAAGGGGGATATGATCTCCATGTATAATACATAAGGGGGGATATGATCCCCATGTATAATACATAAGGGGGGGTATGATCCCCATGTATAATACATTAAGGGGGATATGATCCCCATGTATAATACATAAGGGGGATATGATCTCCATGTATAATACATAAGGGGGATATGATCCCCATGTATAATACATAAGGGGGGATATGATCACCATGTATAATACATAAGGGGGGATATGATCACCATGTATAATACATAAGGGGGGATATGATCTCCATGTATAATACATAAGGGGGGATATGATCTCCATGTATAATACATAAGGGGGATATGATCTCCATGTATAATACATAAGGGGGGATATGATCTCCATGTATAATACATAAGGGGGGATATGATCACCATGTATAATACATAAGGGGGGATATGATCTCCATGTATAATACATAAGGGGGGATATGATCTCCATGTATAATACATAAGGGGGATATGATCACCATGTATAATACATAAGGGGGGATATGATCTCCATGTATAATACATAAGGGGGGGATATGATCACCATGTATAATATATAAGGGGGGATATGATCACCATGTATAATACATAAGGGGGGATATGATCTTCATGTATAATACATAAGGGGGGATGTGATCTCCATGTATAATACATAAGGGGGATATGATCTCCATGTATAATACATAAGGGGGGATATGATCTCCATGTATAATACATAAGGGGGGGGGGATATATGATCACCATGTATAATACATAAGGGGGGATATGATCTCTATGTATAATACATAAGGGGGGATATGATCTCCATGTATAATACATAAGGGGGGATCAAGGGCGGACTGACCATTTGGAAACTCGGGCACTGCCCGAGGGCCCGGGGTCAGTAGGGGGCCCCATGAGATGCCCCTGGTACCTTTTTCATAGGTTTTTTTGGGTGTGGTTTGAGTGTGGGCAAGGACACAGGGGCCCCATGATCCCCTATTGCCCGGGGGCCCTATGAGTTGTCAGTCCGCCCCTGAACTGGATACTAACATTTATGGGTAAAGTTTATCCAGGGAATATTCGATTGCCTCTCGGGGGATCAGGAAGGAATTTTTTTTTAGCTGCAGGAGCAAATTGGATCATGCTTTGCTGGTTTTTTTGCCTTCCTCTGGATCAACTGTGGGTATAGGATTATATCATTTCTTTTTTTTTTTTAATGGTTGTACTGGATGGACTTTTGTCTTTTTTCAGCCAGACTAACTATGTAACTACAAATGAACCTCGTATAATTACATTCTATGCTGTCAGGCTCCTATAGACAAATCAAGAAAAGCTTAATTTGACATTTCCTTACAGCAGCCCATTCAGTTATTGCTAGACATTGGTGGCAACAGTCTATACTTTCACTAGATGATTTGGCTTGTTAAATGGACAGGATCATACACATGGAACGCATGATAGCTTGGGAGGACGATAAGACTGACTCCCCCATATTGATTTGGACGGTCTGGTCCCATTTTAGGTTTTCCTCCAATTTTGGGGCCTTTGTAGCTGCTCCTTCTGTGGCCTCTCAAGTGTAGATGGCATCCTCCCATCCCTCATTCCTCCCCCAGTACCCCCCTCCCCCCTTATTGTTGACTTATTGATTTTCTTTTCTTTTAATTTGTTCTTTTCCTCTCTCTGGACTTAATATTGTTCATTTATTTACCATATACATGGTGCTCTGGATCGTACTGTTACGTCACTTATATAGATGGTAGCACCAGTCTGCTTTTTTCTTTGTGATTTTTCTCATTCACATGTTATATGGTTGTGGAGTTAACAGTATCTACAAATGTTTTGCTAGTTTTACTTTATCTTAAAGCAGAGTTCCACTCGACCTATAAAAAATAAAGTCAGCAGCTACAAAATCTGTAGCTGCTGACTTTTCAAAAACAGCCACTTACCTGTCCCTCGGTCCTGCGGTGTGTCCCCGGCAGCTCGTTTCACCAGCCTTCCTGTATTCCAGGAGGCCGGCATCTTCAGTGTGGGCACCCGACTGTGACAACTTGTGGCTTCACTGCCGGGTGCCCACTGAGCATGTGCGAGTAGTGCTGCGCTTCATGAATGGTCCTGTAGTCTTCTGGGACCTGTCACGTGTCCCAAAAGACTACAGGGAGAGAGGGGGGAAGGACACCTTCTGTTTCCGATCGTCTAGGCGATTGGACCAGAAGTGGAGCGGGTACCTGTCAAATTCAGGTACCCACTACCCCCCCCCCCCCCGCTCCCCAAAGGTGCCAATCCTTGCTGGGGAGCGGGGGAGCAGTCCTTAAAGCAGAAACTTCCCCTTTTGGGTGGAGCTACACTTTAATGACCTTTACTATATCATGACCTTGTAATGATTCCTTTTACATCATCTTAAACAATATGTATTTCTGTAAACTTCATGGCAAATTACATGTGTTCATACGGTTATACTCTGTACTGTTTGAAAACCGAATAAACCATTTTAAACATAAAGTTCAGTTGGGGTTTAACTGCTTACTGACCGCTCTATAGCAGAACTACTACCACATGGTGGCAGGGCTGTGCAAAATCACGTATATATGCATGACTTTGTATTTCCAGGTAGGGGGCGCACGCACGCCGCACATGCACCCTACCCACGCCACCATTGATGACTTCAGCTGTCAATCACTGGGTCCTGGACGGTGATTTCCCGCCGGCACCCGGCGATCGCTGAGTATCATTGGCGGGGGAGAGATCTGTATATCAACTCCAGCATACTGCTTTGCATTGAGCTGCATAGCTAACCCCTTCTGCTCAGTGTCATTAATACAGTGTCAGTGCTTTTTATTAGCACTGATCACTGTATTAGTGTCATTGGGATGTCAGTGGCAGTTAGTCAGTTCCCCCCCCAGTGTCAGAATGCCTCCCGCAGTCCTGCAGTCCCACTATAAGTCGCTGATCGTCACTATTACTAGTATAAATAAATAAATATATAAATAAAAATTCCAGTAAATATACCGCCATTTGCAGACGCTATAACTTTTCACGTAAACCAATTAATTTACACGTATTGGGATTTTTTTAGCAAAGACATGGAGCAGAATACATTTTGGTCTAAATTTATGACGAAATTTGATTTTTTAGATTTTTTTACTGGATATGTTTTATAGCAAAAAGTCAAAAATATTGTTTTGTTTTTTTCAAAATTTTTAGTATTTTTTTGTTTATAAAGCAAAAAATAAAAAGCCCAGCGGTGATCAAATACCACCAAAAGAATGCTCTATTTGTGGGAAAAAAAGGACATAAATTTAATTTGGGTGCAGCTTTGTATGACCGCACAATTGTCAGTTAAATCAACGCAGCGCCGTATAGCAAAAACTGGACTGGTCAGGAAGGGGGGTAAATCCTTTGGAGGGCAAATGGTTAAAGTGGTTATACAGGTATGTTTTTTTTCTTTAAAATAACAAATATGTCATACTTACCTGCTCTGTGCAATAGTTTTGCACAGAGCAGCCTGATCCTGCTCTTTTCAGATCCCCCACTGGCACTTCTGGCAACCTCCCCATGCTGAGTACCCCCAGAGCAAGTTGCTTACTCTGGGGGCACTCATGCGTACTTACTCCCAAGCCACCTCTGTGTGTCTATGGGACACACAGAGAGTGACTCAGTCCCGCCCTCACTCCTTCCTCACTGGCTGTGATTGACAGCCAATGGCTCCCATTGCTGTGTCTCAACCAATGAGGAGTGAGAGATGCAGGAGAGACTCTGCTCTTGTGCACATTGTTGGATCGAGGCTCGGGCTCGGGTCAGTATTAGGGAGGGGTGCAGGGGGAGCTGCACACTGAAGGTTTTTTGCCTTCATGCAAGAAGGTAAAAAACCTTCAGCCTTTACAAACACTTTAAGACCAAACATATTTATCTTTTGTATCCACAAAGCTGTCACCGATAAGCATCCACTGACCGTTCTTGTAATCTACATAAACTATTCATCATTTCTCGGTATTTCCCAAAGCGTTCTGCAGTAGAGCTCGGTGTCTGTTGCCAGAAGGCACGCAGTCCCATCCACACCATCTGTTCCATCACTAATAAAGACATTAAATTGTACCTGCCCCAGTGCAGATCCCGAAGGAGCCTCTGCTGTCAGCCCCTCGTCATGGCAGCACAAACTTTGAGTCAGTAAACCGCTAACAATATTATTAGCCGGAACTTCCTTCTTCTCCAGGCAAAATGTATTCCTTCGCAAATCTGGGTTTTGTTTTTTTTTCGTCTATTTAAAATAATGAGATGGAGCCATCCATTCTTTGAAGCATTAGACTTAGAGGAGAAATAAAGCTTGCTCTATGTTGTTCTCACACAATATAAAGGTGACAAAGCTATCACTGTACATCATGGCAGCTGTTATGGACATTCATCTGTAAAAAAAAAAAAGCACATTCCAGGGAATCGTTAGTTATTCTTATCTACAGCCTTGTGGTTATGCTCCTCTGTCTCCATCAATAAGTTATTCTAGAGCTTGACCAGGGGACTACAGATGGCTTGATCCAGTCCCACTAAACCAATACCTACCCCTCATCCTTAACCTAAGTAACCACACTGACAACAAAATGGAGTTAATGGCCCAAAAACGGCCTTTTAATACAACCATCAATAAATAACATTTAAATAACAGAAACACAGTATAAACATACATTTTTTCAAGGTCCCAATAGGCATCAAGAAAATGAATACCTGTGTCCTGCTTAACTAGGTCTCCAGCCGCAACATCACCGACTTGGATACACCACCGCAGATACCCCCACCAGAACAACTGGAATCCGTACCTCAGACAGGTTCCTACAAAGTACCTTTTCTTGTGCCCACATTAACCAATGAGGACCCTGAGCCCCGCCAGATGTCCACAAGCACCAATATGGCAAAACCACCACCAAGACAAAATATAAAACAACAGGCGGGTGGGAGGGAAGTTTGCCTTGTCTCAGACTGAAGACCCCTTGCCACACCCCTCGTAGCTCCCCCCACTCCTTCATTAAAACCATTTAGACTCCCCTTTATGCTAATAGACTCTGGGACTCTGCCTCTCCCAACCCCCTTTAACCTTTGTCATGCCGGCCCTTCTCTCAGGTCTTCTTTCTTCTTACTCCTGGCCTTCCTTTCTGTGTGAATAGCAATACTAATTTATCGTTGAATAAATAAAAATACCGTGCAGTGCTACACATCATAAATCAATGATTAATTAAATAGTGAATACTATAACTAATAGTCATATAAAAGTCCCGAAGAAATTGCTTCTCAATGGAATATCCTTCCTCCTGTGAACACCTGGTGCTCCACCCGCAAAAAAAGTGCACAATTCCTCCACCAGATGTCTGCCCAAATCCAGCAGTGCAACCTCGCATGTATAATGCTCAGTGAAATCGCACTTTTGGTCCCATAATGGACTCTGAAGATCAACTTGATAAGAATGGATTCCAATGGTTCACTCCAAAAACCCCCTTCATCGGCAGTATTCCATTTTCAGATATTTTCAAGCCAGTCAAATGGTGCTCATATTCTTCTACCTTTTCTGATCTTCTCTGCTGATGGCTAGTCCTAAATGAGAGAGCAGCACTGATATTTTTGAGTGTTCTTCTAACCAATGAGCAAGCTGCAAAACCCCCAAGGTGCCAGGACCAGAGCTGTGGAACGGACAGGCAGGCTTAATGGCAGGGTCATGCACCGATTGACGATAACCACCACCCACAGACCAGAGTCCCTCAGGGCGCGGAGTCTAAGTCCCAGGCTGCCCTTCACCAGGGCCCCTGATGGTGGGGATGGACTTGACGCAACCAGAGACCAGGTCGCGGCCCCTGAGACACCCCAGCTGCGGTAATGGCCGCCGCCAATGGCATATAGCTGGTAGGAAACAGAAGACAATAGCGTAGTTGGGCAGGCCGGGTCGATAACAACGGGACAGACAGTACAGAATGGTAGACAAGAATAACAGGTCACAAGCCGGGTTCGGGAGGTCAGATAAAGGGATAACGCAGAGAATAGTCTAGTCAAAAGCCGAGTCAGTTTCCAGGAGAGCCACGAGAGTATAAACAGAGCTTGTTGTAACATGAACATACAAGACACAAATGCAAAGGGCACATGCGGACAACAGGCTTATATGTGATCAACCACACCCCTCTGGGGGATGGACCGCAGAGGCCTGAAGGCATAAAAGACTCCCACCTTGCTCTGCAGAAATCCAAGATGGATGCCAGCACATGGGGCAGCACAATCTCTGGGAAAAGGTAGGACCTTGACACAAGGTTTGTACAGTTCAACTCTAGCTGTTTGGCAGCTCCCAAGCAGGGGCGGACTGACAACTCATCGGGCCCCTGGGCAATAGGGGATCATGGGGCCCCTGTGTCCTTGCCCAAACTCATAAAAACCTATGAAAAAGGTACCAGGGGAATCTCATGGGGCCCCCTACTGACCCCGGGCCCTTGGGCAGTGCCCTAGTTTCCAAATGGTCAGTCCGCCCCTGCTACCAACACACATGCAGCACTCCAACAGGTTTCTCACAAAACTCCTACTCCCCACACATTTATTGTGGATGTGTTAAATATAACATCATGATCAGTTAGATGTTTTTGCTGCTACATTCTCACAAATAAGCAAAGAAACCACATTGCTTTGTCCAAGCTGTCCATGTCCCCAAACTTCAGGTTAAAGTGGAACTAAACCCTTCTCTCCTTTACAGCTAAGAAAGCCATCAACTTAGCCTCGGTTTGATCTGCACTTGCCATGGTGCTGCACATGTGATCAGTTATGACCCCAGCCATTTGATGGTTTGACAGTCTAATTGGAAGCACCAGCAAATGTGATAAATGTGACGGTTATCATTCATGGCATGCGTTAAATGTAACTGTTTTAGGAAACCGTTAAATTGATGGGTTTTGTTCCATCTTGACTAACTTAGGGTTGGTTCACACTTGAATAAATTTCTAACTCTTCAAAAACACCCCTTTAGCGTTAGACGGGCATTAATAAGCTTTAGTATGGACATTCTTTAAGCGTTAAAAATGCTCCCTAAACGCCCCATGCACAGTTTTGAGTCATTTAATAGGCATTTTACAAGCATTAAAACCGCACTACAATCGCCTATAATAAACTCTAATGGTATTAACCTCCTGCAAATGCCTGCCAGGCATATGAGGAGCATCACCATAGACTTGAATGGGAGGCATTGAAAGGCTTCAACTCCTCCTGACTCGACATGAGGCTTCAATTTTGAAGCAACGCTAACGCTTCATGTTTTTCTAATGTGAACAGCTCTGTGTGCTGCTCTTTGTCATTTCCATACACATTTGAGGAGCATTAAAAATGCCCCTCAAATGCCTGCTTTCAAAGATAGTTTGAACTAAGCCTTACAGTTCTGTTTTTTTTTTCCATTGTGGGAAATGGCAGAGCTGTAATTAGACATTAGGTTGACGTATGCACACCCGAAGCCCTTCTGAACAAGCTCTACCATTTGTGTGACATTATTTTATTAAAAACTAATTAACAATTGGTGTCAAAATAGAGAAATATGAAGCTCATTGTGTAAAATAGAGGTAAGAGGTATTACATGTAATAGGTGTATGAGGCATGTAAGAGAGGGGTATGAGGGACTATATGCATTTGAGAAGTATTAGTCATCTCAGTAGTGGCAGATACTGGAGAGTAAACTGTGTGTAGTAGATGCAGAGTATCAGACAGACAGAGCTCATTGGCAGCATATATACTAAGGAGTTGTGTGCCCTAGGGTCAGGTCTCCTTGATGGTATGGATACTGGGGAGCTGTGCCCTGGGGACATATCTCACTGGTGACATGGCTACTAGATATTGAGGAGTGAACTATGGGGTTGATTTACTAAAGGCAAATAGACTGTGCACTTTGCAAAGTGCAGTTACACTCCGCAAATGCAGTTTCCCCAGAGCTTAGTAAATGAGGAAAACCTTCACTCTTCACTTTGTAAAGAATACCCAATCACATGAAAGGAAAACAGCATTGTTGCTTGCACATGACTTGATGATGGAAGTCAGCAGAGCTTCTGCTCATTTACTGAGCTCTTGATTCATTGCTCTTGCAGAGTGCAACTGCACAATCAATTTGCCTTTCGTAAATCAACCCCTATGTGTCCTAGGCACAGATCTCTCACTTGTGGCATTTTAATACTGGGGAGTGAGCCGTGTGTACTGGAGTGCAGATCTTACTGGTTATATGGGATATTGGGAAGTGAGCCGTGTGTACTGGAGTGCAGATCTTACTGGTTATATGGGATATTGGGAAGTGAGCCGTGTGTACTGGAGTGCAGATCTCACTGGTTATATGGGATATTGGGAAGTGAGCCGTGTGTACTGGTGTGCAGATCTCACTGGTTATATGGGATATTGGGAAGTGAGCCGTGTGTACTGGTGTGCAGATCTCACTGGTTATATGGGATATTGGGAAGTGAGCCGTGTGTACTGTTGTGCGGATCGTACTGGTTATATGGGATATTGGGAAGTGAGCCGCGTGTACTGGTGTGCAGATCTCACTGGTTATATGGGATATTGGGAAGTGAGCCGTGTGTACTGGTGTGCAGATCTCACTGGTTATATGGGATATTGGGAAGTGAGCCGTGTGTACTGTTGTGCAGATCGTACTGGTTATATGGGATATTGGGAAGTGAGCCGTGTGTACTGGTGTGCAGATCTCACTGGTTATATGGGATATTGGGAAGTGAGCCGTGTGTACTGTTGTGCGGATCGTACTGGTTATATGGGATATTGGGAAGTGAGCCGCGTGTACTGGTGTGCGGATCTTACTGGTTATATGGGATATTGGGAAGTGAGCCGCGTGTACTGGTGTGCGGATCTCACTGGTTATATGGGATATTGGGAAGTGAGCCGCGTGTAC